TTTGTGAGGTGCTTTCGTGATATTTAATGGATCGGATTACATTTTTTATTTTTCTCCGATATCCGATCCAGTAATTTAGGTCAGTATCGGACCGATACGTAATATCGGATCGGTCCATCTCTAGTACATATACCTAAAAGGTTATGCAAATATGTACCCATAACTTGTTTTTCAAAATATTAATAAAAGTGATGTCTCCAAACAGCCGTCTCTTTCCTGATTCGCTTTGTGCATATTCTCTTACATATGATGAGTCAACATTGAAACACCTGCGGCTTTTAGTCAGGTGCAGCTAATGTATGTACAAAACAGGATTTCCCCTGATTCTAGCTTGTGCGGCTAATATTCAGGTGCGCTTTGTAGTCCAGGAAATACGGTAACCATGTATGCTTAGAGGTGTATGATCGATTGTGTAGTGATAGGATGTGTGATCTTTAGCAGTCTGCAAAGGCTTGGTGTGCATTCCAGAGTGTTCTGGCATTCACACCCACACCCTGGGAGCACGGGAGAGGGCGTACCTGCTCTTATTGTTTTATGGCAGGGTAAACGTGGCTATGTCTGTTTTAGTCTAAGTGCCTTTTGTTTAGATGAAGTGTTGGACTTGCAAACCAGCAGGGTTAGGGAAGTCTTTATGGGGTCACACTCTGACCCCACACACACACACACACACTTACACAACGCACAGGCAAGGTACTCTTTGTGTGTATGTATACGACGTATGTTAATGAACCTATGCATATTCATGTAACCTCAATAAAAGAGCAGTGTTACGGGGGAGCAGATGGGGTCAAGCGAAGGAACGGCGCTTGTCCGGTTCTCTCCCGTGCACGGGAAACATAAAGAACTTTGCCTACTCGTGTCTTGCTTTGCTGTGTAATTAAATTGTCCTTAACGTTCCAACGACTAGGTTTATGCTACAAACCTATCACCCAGTACAGTCTCAAGAGCGTGGAGGAGAGTCCAAGAGACCAGTAGCTACTCTACTTATTGGAGACAGAGTGGACCTTTGGTAGCGTGTAGTGCCTGCGTGGCACTCAGCGGTGATGCTGGGCTGTCCGGGTTGTATCTCATGTGTCATGATGACACCCTACAACCCTACACTCAGCCTTCAACCAAATGATAAAAACTGATGGTCACTTGGTGCACCCTGAAGCCGTGTTTCAGGTCATCATCGGCATCCCAGAAAGAGATACTGACTGACCACGGCAGGTCGTTCATGTCTCGCGCACTAAGAGACCCGTGTGAATGATTAAATGTGCTCGGCCCAGTCTCTACCACCCGCAGACTGACTGCTTGGTGAAGCAGCTGAACAAGGCTTTAAACTCCATGATTCGTAAGTTCATTGACGAGGATAAATGCAATCCTCTGTTGTTTGCAGTGCGGGAGGTGCCCCAGGCCTCCACAGGATTTTCTCAGTTACTGTTGGGCAGGAAGCCGTGGGGGGGGCTTAATTAAAGAAAACTGGGAGGAAGTTCCAAGCCTGGCTATAAACCAGATTCAGTACATCCTGCACCTCCTGGGAATTGTTCACCTGGAGACAAAGTGCCTGTGTTACTCTCTTCTTCTAGCTTGAAATTACTCGCCAAGTGGCAAGGACCCTTCGTGGTCACACGGCAAATGGGGGGACGCTGACTATAAGGTTATATGGTTGTACAGTGGAGGTGCCACACAGCGGCCAGAAGCCGCCTCGGCCTCCGTCGGGCGGTGTGGGGCGTGGCAGGGGTGTGGTCTTCAGTTCTGCTGAAGGGTAGGTGTGGCTCATGGGGCAGTGCCGGCAGGTGGAAGTAATCAGTCTAATGAAGTCTCTCCTCTATTTATTGAGGCCGGGGGCCAGAGTGGAGAGGGTGGAGTCAGCTGGAAAGCTGGAACAAAAACTCAGCGTGTGCAAATGAAGTACACAGAAAGGAAACGTCACCCGATCACTGTGTGGGTCCAAATCAGTCACAGGTGTCAACACATTTACAAAAAGCAACACATTACAGATGGTGTCATACTCACCACACTGTATAATATTCAGTCCCATTTATACATTCAGTGATACCATCTGTTAGATTTTGAACAATTGCAATGTTAATGAGTAACATGACGAATCAACGTGAAGCAGAGTCCAATACAATGATCAGTTGACCACAGAGAGGATGGCATGCTGGTTACTCAGTGTACAGCTTGCTGCTTTCACCATCTCCTTCTGTATCTTTGCTACAATGTACTCAAACAGTCACACTACAGAGTTCACCAATAGTTGATTCTGTTCATCTGGATGTTTTCAGTGGGAGAAAGGTTTCATCATCATCGGGTGCCTTCTCCAGTCTCAGCTGACTGCAGCTTTCCAATCTTACAAACAGCACATTAGCTTAATTACTGATCTTCCCTGTCTCCATGGCCACCTCTCTCTTTGCCACAACTCAGCAGTAAAGTGCTGCAGGTTTGACTGTCACCACGTTTCCCTCACTCATGATCTAAACTCTTCCCAACATCACCTCGTTCGTTAGGGGACTTTACTCGTTGAGTACCATCGCCTGAAGGTGGTGGCTGCAAATTCTCCACTCAGGAACTTTGCACTTGGCTTCAAAGTAAACCAGTGCAAACTGAAGGTCATTAGTTGATGAAGCACCGATCAATTCAGTCCACAAAAATGATGAACTGTCTGACTGCTGCTGTAAAGGGATTTAGGGCTGAATTTATCCTGCATACTAAAGACATTG